TAATTGTATCAATTTGATTGATCGGCTAGCATGTTGTTCTATAACCTCAGTGTAATACGATTTCAAAGTCTATTAAAATGAAATAACGCAAATATGCAGACGTTCAAGTTGAATCAGATTTGGATATTGAACTTCATTGAATTTGTTTTTGTGGTAGAAGAAAATAGGGATCCTGTCCACAAATTGTATCATCTTTTGCTTTGGATCGCTAAAGAGACATGAATAGATCAATTTAACGTGGCTGATCCCATGTCAGATTGATATAGAGACAAAAATGACTCTACTGGCGGTAGAAAAAATTTTACTTTAATGGTGAACAAATAAGAGATGATTAGGAATAATCAAATAACAGAAAAAAAATTTCAGGGGAAAGCTACTCCTTCTGATAACAAAATTTTCATCTATTCTAAAAAAGCCAAACAATAAAATCCTAAATAATGGTACTTGAGGTTTGATAATGGCCTAAAAATTTAAGATGATATTTGTTTACATTGACCAGGCTAGGGTAATGGAATAAGAACCTAACTTAAAATGATACGTAAGTACCAACAACTTTCTGAAGCGAAGAGACCGCTCTTTGCAAAACGTAGTCAAGCTTCTTGTCTTTAATAACCCTTGATTATGTTTATGCCGGTGAGTTTCAAAAATTGCCACTTGAGATGTTTTCTAAGAATGCAGAGTTTTGTTTTTTCACAGCTGTTGTGGTGCAATCCTCATCATAATATGTGGTAACAGTATCAAAAGATACAGTTTCAGGTATGATCAAAAGGCATTTTTATCCGGACGGTGAAGAATGGCGGAACGTTGCCTACATTCAAGCCAATATCATTATCTCTATTATACTTCACTGGGACATAAGCTCCTCTATCTTAATGTATTTGGCTTTTCCTGCTCTGTGGGTGCAGCCCTTTGTAATCTGCTAAGTTCGTAATCTGTGTGGGTAAATTTTTGGGCTTGTATGGCTTTGGTAAAGGAAACAATCATTAGGTATAACTCAAATGTTTCTTGATAATCACTTTTAGGCCTTTTTATATCAATCCCATTACATTACGGTCCTTGTTGTTAACCTAGTTTAGGTATTTCTGAATTTCACAATTGAATAATACTCTGAAATCTAATTTGTCTGAGTGTAATAAGGAAGTTCTTGCTTTCTGATTAGATACTTGTAACAATCTTCGTCTGTAATGTAACTGTCAACAGCTCTTAGGAGGAATGTAACAAACAAATGATCAACAAGCAACTACAAGACATCAAAAGCCCATCGAAGAGTGATATCTCTACGACATTCCAAATTCAATTTGCTTTTTAACAGAGCTTCTTTGAATAATAGTTTATTTATCACAACACCCCCGCTTAGGTCTGTTTATTGCTAAATTGTTTGAAGCTTTTGAAACTACCATAAAAGCACAAGTCTCTTTGATAAAGGTGCTAAATTTTAAAAGAATGAATTATGGATCATTAGAAAGTCCTGCAATGAGATAGAACGAGGCTTATTGTGAAAATATTTATATGCATCAATATAAGAGTAACAGAGCGCTTAATCACAAATCTCCTTATACAAAATTATAAATTAAAAGCGTTGTTTTTATTTTTGCTATTCCTATAAAGTCAAGATCGGATTTAGCTGTCAAATGTTACTAATCAAAGAAATTCAGTTTATATTATTGACTGTGTTGATTTCATAATGAAAAAGATTTTTCAAAATAGATTATTGACTGATAGAGGATGTCTTAAAGCTTGAAGGCGTATAAATGTATAGGTTTTAACCATTGCTAGCATAATTGTATTTTGAATATATTTTATACAGTTCCTATAAATTCTTATTAAAGGTGTCGATATTTGCTTCCTTGTGTTTATAATGAATAGCAGAAACGGAAAAATTTCGCAATCACGTCACTGAAAATCAACCAAAAGGAAGCTCAGTATAACCAAGGCATTCCTCTGCTTCCAAACGTGTAAAATCCTTCTCAAAGTCACCTGGGAACCGATGAAAAGTAACTCTAGTAGGTAATGATCATTGCATGATTGACATTTCATTAGAGAACGTGACAAAACAAACAGAGCGTCTAATGGATTATATACTCTTTTAGAGACAGAATAAACAAATTCCAGCAAAAGCAAAGCAAGACTCTTTAACCAGGTGAAAGATTCGATTGGTCAAAACAATAACCAATCAAACGCGCTTTCCTTTCTTTCACATAAATTTCAACCCTCATCTGGATATAAATATTCTGCTTACCTTGGGACATTATATACTTTGCGGAGCGTCAGACAAAGGGACTTTAGTATGACATTTTTCGCTTGTCCATGCTATGTTAAATGCCAAAAATGTAATTAAAAGATCCAAATTAACTCATTATGCATATAAGGCTTCACATACTTTCGAAAACCAATGAACTTCAAGGGAAACATTGAAAAAGGTAAAATCTCACTGATAAAGAGCTTGTTGTCCGTTTCACAAAATAGGGCAATTTTCACATTTTGCTGCTGAATTTAGATGCTATCATCCTATAACAAAAATTAATCTTCTTAGATTATTCTGCTTTACCAGGCCTAACCAGCGCGTTGCATTTCAAAGTCTTTGAAACGGGGAATCAAAAACCATTACCACAGGGATACTTGCATGAAATCTCCAGTGTGTAATTTCATTGGCTGATGATGAAAACATTTTGTCGCAACAGGAAATGTCTGGAAAAGCCACATTAAACTCAGGTCATTTACTTCAATCCTTTATAATTACAATTGCAAAGGTCTTTCCCTTTCCTATTTTTAGTGACATCAACCATAAAAAGGCAACGTAACTTGCAGTGTTATTCTAGTCTCAGTGGAAAAATCCTTCGATAAAATTTGACACAGAAGTTTTAGGTATCAACGTGTCTTAAACATTTTGAAAGAACTCGCAAAGATAATGCTTGTTTAGTAAACACTTCTTTGCTGCAATCTGGTGGCGAAAACTTAACAACAATGCACGTGGATAATTGATGAATTAGCATCCCTAACAATTTTAAAAACATTTTTTCTCTTTTTTCAAATAAACAATTTGAAAGTCAAAATTTTGGACCACCATCACAGTAAACATTGATGCACACCACAATCCGACTAAAAAGACTTTCTGCCCTAGTACGGAAGTTTAAAAGTGAATTTGTGGATATAAGATTCAAGTGATCACTTAAACAAACAGAACTTGCATAAGTAAGCTCAAAAAATTTATTACTGCACAGAGGTGTTAATAGAATGATAGAATGGCTCTTTATGTTTTGGGATAACAAAGACAGACAACAAAATGAACTGTTAACTAAGTTAAACACCATAGGCCATGAACTCTCAAAGCGGCTTTTAAAAATTCATTGAATAAACTTTAGTTTTAGGCGATACAGGCAAAAGTTTTAATATATGCCGAAAGAAATGTAATAAGGTAGAATCGAATTCGTACTCTACAAAACTAAAGGGCTTTACCTCTAGGTTTTACTTTTGAAGTCAAAAGTTAAACACAAACAGTTACAGTCAACATTAAAAAATATCATTTTCTGTCCTTGACCGAGATCATTTTGTAAATGACAATTGGCGATATTGTAATTTTTTTAACTTAAAAACAACGTTCCTATCAAACGTAAAAAGAACTATGGATTTGTAAGTGTGGCTTAAAATTTTTTACAAAATTAAAATAAGATTGAAGCTTACTATATTTCATATGTATCTTTTTAAGAATTGTAAGTTGATATTTTGGTCAGTTGGCAGCTCTAATACCAACATAAGAAAAAATAAAAATGTGCAAGCATGCAGATTCGTCTAAAGAAAGGTATTTGGAAATTTATGGTTAAAATGATTTCAGGTGAAGATTACCTTATAATAAAACACGATTTCTATTTTTAGTGAAGAACAGCCTCTTTGAGCAAATAGCAGACAGAATGTGCATAAGTCTACCTGGCATCGTTAAAAGCTACTAATTTTCTCATGTCAAGTAAATTTGTAGTGAACATATGATTATCATTTCAGAACTCTTTCATACCATTTTATTAACTGAAACTAGACAGTAAAAAGCAACCTTTCATACTCGTCAGGCCAATTTTAAAATAATTTTGTACATCATAAAAAAGCTCTTGCAACCATTGAAAAAGAGCTTGGAAATTTAGTTTTCTTTTACTAGAGATTGAATGATTCAGTTTTTTTCTCGCACAATGTAGAATCGTTACTGATCGTATAAATACATGCTAATTATGACAGTTTTTTCATTATTAGGCTGGTCCGGTCTTCTCATGAGCTATCATCATGGGCTATCAAGGGAAACGGAGTCTTGAGCTTTTATATCACAATGTTATTGGAAAGAGTTTTAAGAAAATACAATTAGATCGAAGCAACCGATATTGAATACGAGTACATGATACTGGCAATTACCTAATGGTAGCTAATAGGCTATTGAGCCTCGATGTCAACTTTGCAAAACGAGACTAGGACAGACGAGACCAACTAGCTGAACCAAAGAACAACAAAGATAAGACTGTCGTTAAAGCAACTTAGTAAGACTGACTGAGCTGAGCTTAACTTAATCAGATAAGAAAAACTGTTTTTAAAACCAAACAAGTTGCTACATGTGTTACCAATCGTATAGACGGAACGGATTTAAAGCGATGGTAATGGGCAGAAAATCATTCTAATATTAGATCGATATTAACATCATTCTTCTTAGCAGCATCTGATTATATACGAATGTATCTGAAAGTTCTTTTGTATTTGAAAGAAATTTAGCTTTTACATAGTTAGCGCTATATCATTTGAAATTAGAATGACTCTCATCAGTATTTATGTGCTTCAGGAGGAATTTTCTTGCGTATGTCTATCAAATATCCCCTATTGACCTATGACTTTCTCAAGCGAAAACATTTCGCTCAACTTCCGATTCGGCTGTTTTGAAAGTGTGCGCTTTGGCTAGGAATATGAAAGAAAAGCCACAAAAGATAGCGGTCCAGTTCTAGTGGCTTCGACAGCAAATCCGATTGGAGCCTCTTCTTCACGTACATGAAAAAAGAATTCGTTTGAAAAACTCGCCAAGAGACAATCAAAGTAATTTCTAGTAACAGTTTTTCTTAAGGCAATTTAGCAGCTGGTTGGCTGTTGATTTTTATCCTATTAGCATCTAATATGATAAGTTCAGTCTTCCATTAACGTGATTCTGTGTAAAACTGTACTATGGGGTATACAAACATAAAGGCACAGGCCTTACGCAAGTTGTTCTTTTTCAATAAAAGGTCAAACGAATCTATTCGAAATGCTACGTGACATGATTAATTGCTCTTCTTAAGAATTACAGGTTTGCTCTCTAAACGGCACATGCTTTTTAATCAATGATGATATAGTCTGTGAAAATTCAAAGAAACAAAAAAAAAGGAAAAACTAGGAAATATAATTTGCTATAAGAGTGCTACAGTTTTTGTAACATGTAACAAGGAAAAAGAGTTTAGAATAATTCATGCAGTCTGGATGTCTAAACAGAAAGGAAAGTTGAGGGAGACGTTTTCATACCTAAAGAATTCTGAGTAAATATGGCAGGAAAAAATGATGCAATGAAAAACTAGAAATTCTTAAAGCTGCAAAAGACATAGCTCGGTTCCACGATTGCAGGTGACAAGATAGAGAACGTATCTATTTTGGCATATGACTTCAGTAAAGCAAGAGCAAAATTATTGATCTCTTAAACAGAGGTTATTTTCTGTAAAGTCTCTTTATCAGTTAAGATATTGCATTGACATGGCATCTTAAGTTTTAACTTAGAGAAGATTTTCGTTTTAATTTGAACGACATAAATACTGAATTGAATGAAAGTTTATTAACGCAGCTTTGCATTTACCAGTGTTGCATTTGGAAGAAAAATGTAGAAAAGTCTTTTTAAAAAAAGCAGCACTTGGTGAAAATTAGGTGAATTTGGATTATTATGATATAATATTATGCCACCAAATAAAAACAAAAAGGCATTAAACTTGTTTCTTTTATTGATCACATCTAAGCTAGTTTTAAAGAATGATCTTGACATGATCTTGCACACTTATAGAAATTCTATGGAACTCATTTTTTCATTCATTCATCAAAATTTTATAGAGTTTTGCACAATCTGGGTTGTTTAAAAGATGTTGACCGATGGCAGAATCACTTGTTTTAACAGTGTTTTTAGACCTACAAGATCAAGGAGGCTGTTCTTTTTGAGGAGCAGTTTTGCTTCTTATGTTGGAAGAAACATGCTGTTTTATCCTATCCCCCAATCTATGGGTTGTGCGTCCTGCATAGCCAGAATCACACTGGCACGTAAATTAAAAAATAACCGAAATTTTTTAGTTGGTAGGAACGCAATCCTTTTGAATAGATGGAAGGGCTCTTCTAGTGCTGTAAACAATACGAGGATTGACAGCAAAGATGTTGTAAAATTTTTATATTTTTCAAAGCCATTTTCAAGTTCTGTACCGCAAAAAATTGTTCACATTTTATATCGTCGTCACTCAGCTGTCCTTTTTTTATCTAAATGACGTCATTTGTGCCCAGATCTATTCTGCTGATAAACGTCGTTGGTTACAAATGGTACTCGCGAGAAGAACATCAGTGCTTTTTAGCCTGACATTGTAAATTTGTGAAATAGTGTCTTTAAAATGAATGAACAACGATTTATTGTGTTTACCGAGAACATTTAATAGGTTTTGAGCATTCAAGAAAATGCTTTGAATATTGTATCTATTCTTCTTTGAATGTTACAGCCTTAGAATAAAAATATACTTGCTACAATGATAGAACATGCGAAGCTAGAAAAGTGTTGCTTGTGAAAGGATTTCGATGTTGTAGATATGTAACACCTTTTTCGATACAATAAATGTATTTATTGATACAATAAAAGCCAATGATGGGGTTATGCCCGTCACTTCGAAAGCTTTCACAATCATAACACAACTGCATCAAAGGTCACCAAAGCAGATGACAAGCGAAGGGATCTTGCCCGCCTCATAGCATTATTCAAGGAAGTTATAAAGTGGGCAAAAAAGAATACTGTATACAAAGATATCGACATTAATTACGATGAAAGTATCACAGTAAGCGATGTAATAAATGCGAGAATGACTAGAAAGTTTCGTGATGGCTAAATGAAATTGTATACAGTGAAATTGTGTCACTTAGTAGCTAGGTATAAATATAGTCCCTTTTACATGCCAAACGAAAAGACATTCTAATTCAAAATTGTGGAAAGCTTTGCTGTAAGAAAATTCGCTTTGAGAAAAATTGGTGCAAAAATTTTCAGACGGTAAATATTTTGTGCTACAAAATGCTGCAGACGATAAAAGTTCGGACGCTCCTACTGTCCGAAAATAGTATCATCCGATATTTTTGAAGTACAACGTTTATTATTCAAGAACAAGCGGGAATGATGTACTTAGTCTCGATTGTTAAAGAATAGCAACTTTAATCTTTTTATTTCCAGAATGCTTTTTTGCAGTCAGTGCGGCCCTAGTTTTACTCTGACAGCGAATACTATTAAATTTTCCCTGAAATGATGAAAATGGCTCTCAAGGGGTGAATGCTTTTCACTTTTCATCAGGAAGCAGGACAGCTTTAAAGCCTCTAAAAGTTTCCCGCGTGGCACAGACTTATGTCAACCTTTGAGTTAACAGAAAACATCATGGATGGAACAAATGATATTTAACATATCGTCAGGTCATTGCTAATGAATTCGTCGTGTCTTTGAAACTAGCTCATAAGAAATAGAAGAAACCCATTGAATTCTTTGTAATCCTATACATGATCTATATTAACCAATTACAAATTACCCGCTAATGACGTAACAAGCTCAGTCAGTCAACAAATTTGGTAGTTTAGACTAGACGAACTAGAACGAGATTACAATTTGGACGCCACGCCAACAAATTTCCAGCAAAAATTTGCCGGATTCTTTCATCGTTTTCTGCAGAAAACCTTAACTTGCTTATGGTTTTTCAAATTTCCTAGGCCCACTTCTTGTTAATTCAGAATTTTCCAGTAATTTATATTAAAGATGTTTCTGCTTACAGAAATTATTTAAACATCCGTTGTCAATCTATCATATCTTTTATTGATCCTGACACATTAAAGAGCCGAATTGAAAGTTTGTATAAGCAACAATGTAAATTTTCCTGTTATTTGATTCTTTTTATTCCAATTTGTTCGTTTTTCTGACATCTCCAGCGCGTGTCGTATCGCAAGCCTAAATGAGCAAATAAAAAGAAACATTTTCTTCATAATGCTAGGAAATTTTCATAAACGTACATATCTTTTTCGTATCACTAAACGCATTAAAACAGAAAAGCTCAGTACCTTGATCCCGTCTTAGTGATATTTTCTTACATTTAACGAGCCAACAGATAAAGAACTCGATAGAGATATAGAGGGGAACACAGAGTTGTTGTTTCATTTTGATTTAGCCCCGACTTAGGGTCAAAGAGAGGCATAGCTATCTTGAAATATATAGCCTTAAGCTTTGAAGGAACTTTCTACCAAGCACATAGGCTTCATGCTTTAGAAGCCTCTGTGTTTAGTACATTCATACCTTGATAAATATTCCTCTTTAAGCTAACTTCATAAAGCTATTTTAGCCCGTCTGTTGAAGATGCATTTGATTGTTCGATAATGCTTTATATTACCTTGATAATAAAAATTATTGACAGAAGACAAAACAGTTTCACAGCCTCCTATACCTGATCGTAAACATATTTAAAATACAGTTTGCTAGATTAAGCAGAGTCAATTGCGAGCGTGTGGAAAGGATGTGCAAATTATTTTCCAATTTTTCAGCTTTGTACGTTCTTGCATGAGATTTTCTATAATACCACACTTTAATAGAGTGGAATTGTAAAACTTTTATAGCAATTCTTGTCTTTATTATTCCATCAATTACTGCAATTAAAATCAAAGCAATCACCGACTATCAACATTCTAATTTGAATGTTCGTAACATTTGAAGCGTTGCTATTCCTTGTATGATGCAACATTAAAATCCAGCTTGCTTGAAATGCCTACTTACTTAGTGCATTTTTTTGGCAAAACTGTCAAGCAATAAAGTTTAATTATAAAGTGAATGCACCATATTACGTTGCAAGAATATCATCACCTGAAATGATACAGCAGTCGTTATTTGTGTGCTGAAGAATAGTTTCGCAAAATATTGTTCATAACATTAGCGGTTCACGTGGTCTGCTTTGTCAATAGATCTATATGAAAAAGTGAAAAACATAACAGTTTGATTTTTACTAAAACATAGCGATATTCTTCCACGTTAATTTCGATTCACATCTGGATATAGATTTTCTGCTTACGTTTAGAAATCATCCGCTGTTTATACTCGGACGAGTGTCGAACGAAAAGTATTTTAGTGAGCTATGAAATGTTTCTGCTCTTTTGTGTTTTATCAAAAACTCGTGTTACCGAAGGTATATTTGTTTCTTCCCATTTCTCGATTTTTAAAAAGCATCACTACGATAAACTTGACTCAAAATAAAGGCAATACTAGACCATACGATGAAGCTGTTAAAAGTATATTTTTTTGATAAAAAGTGTTTTTTGCTCTTGAATTAATGGATGCTAAGTGGCCTAATATTGAAATTTCATATATTTTCGCCTATTAAAGAAAACATCTCTGTGACACAAAGTTCTAATAAATACTAAAAAGGCTCTTTCAAAACAGCAAGACGGCTTCTTAACGTAGAAAAAAACGATAACTGATAACCACAATGGGAATTTCGAGTTCTTGTAGATTTGTTTTAAGTACGACTGTTAATTCCCTTTATCTATTGGAAATAGCTAAAGCTGGCTCCGATAAATTCTTTCGGAGATAAAAATCAATCCATCAATGTATTTTTCAAAAGATTTCACTATTGTAACTGTTTTTCTTAAAAATTTGCCGACTTTATTATTCTTGCTTGCATTTTCAAGTAGAAATGAGTCATAACACATAATGTATTTTAGATTCTATTCAGCATTCCTGTCTCTGTTGAAATATCGTTTTCAACATAATTTCCTGAATCATTTTTACGTATACACTATTAAAGATCCCTGCGATAATTTCTTACTGCTGGTAGCATTTGGTCATTCACAGGGGTGTAGTGCTAGGGGGCTCAGGGGGCTGATCCCCTCTTGTTAATACCGAAATTTAGCCAATTTCTACTTTTTCTATTGTTTTTAGCAACATTTTGTGCAAGAGCTCCCCTTGTTATTTTGATAGCACTACACCACTGGTCATCCGGTACTTCAAGTGCATAGACAAATTTCTTTCAGGTCATAGAAACTATCATCACATTATTCTTTTTCCTGATATATATTCTGCCTCTGGCAATTACAACTAGCTATTTTTCCAGTAGACTATTGAATCGCTTTGTCTTGTCAATACATCTATTGTGCACTGCCTACATGTCAGGGGAGGAACCGTTTTTAATAGCCTCATCTTAATGATCTTAAAGAGCAAATAGGAAACGAGGCTAAGCCTATGCTGACCTAGAAAGATTGCGTGTTGATTTGTTTACCTATCTTAAATGACTGCTAATAAAATAACTAAATGCATTACTTGGTACAGAGAATAAAACAGCAACATATTTCTTTACAAAACTGGCTCTGCATCCAGAAGCTTCAATTCTTTTGTTAGTGATTTCCTGCATTACATCATATATTTTCCATTTTAATTATTTTTTAAAAAGTAAGAGCATAACCTTTAGTGAAGGAAGCATTTTAAATCAAATTTGTAATGCTGTACGGCCAAAAAAATTGTTTGCGAAGATCACTCGCTTGATTAAAACCTTTTATTCTAATATCACTGAGTACCACAACTAATCGTTCTCTTGACATCTAATATTAAAACACTCTGGAAAAGCGTTCACAATTTAAGAATTTTAGAATTTTATTATTGAAAATAAGAAAAAGATTCAAATTGTGTTTAATAACAAGTTTATCGATCTTGGACAAGGGCATCTACCCTCCATTCTGATTACTGCTTGCAAGCAACCCCTGGTAAGGATTATCACAAAACAATTTTTGGTGGAATATTTGCACAGTTACAGTGCCCATAAATTTCCAGAGTATCAATCAACTAATAAGAAACAAGCAAAAAGATTACTTCTCTTTACTTTTGTTTAGTTCTCAGATTTGCTTTAATAGTTAAATCTATATATCTCTCAACACATGAATATCATCAATTTTGTTATCAAGGAATCCAAGGCATTTACACGTGTTGTTCCCTACCTAATTGATCCGTGCGTCGCCAAAAGTTATTTAACAATCAAAATCACCATTAATCCTTATTGTAATGACACAAATCAACTCATGACGTCCCGTAGTCATCTATTCTGAAAGCGACCCAGGAAACCATGCATATCTTTCATAAACAGTACTAGATTAAGCATTAAGCTTTAACCTTGTCTTTGACTCGACTGAAGGTTTCTTTCAATATATAAATCGATAACCAAATATAAAGGTGTTAATTAAAACAGCCTATTAGCAAATTTCCTACTCGACTAATTGACGGAAATTGACAGAGTCTTACCAGTATACTTTGCTACATTCAAGAAGCTATACCTATCGTGATCTGCGATTGGTGTAAGCGGAAAATCCTAGATGAGAGCTTCTGCTTTTAAATGTTTAAGATTCTTATGATATATTTCTAATAACATTCGGATTTGTTTAAGGTGGTCCGGTTTGAATGGTAGACGGGTGTACGGAGTAAGCGTTGAATCAATAATCTTTTCAAACATCTCATTCTAAATTTCACACTTATTTCTCCGAAGTCACATAAAACATCTGCTTTACGCCTTTTTGGCTATTTCAATATTTGGCGAGTCTAGAATTGGTAAGAATTCTTTCTAAGCTTTTGAGAAGACTCAATGGTCAATCTGCTTAAATTTTCTAGTCAAACATGAAAGAAATATTTATGATAAAGGTAGATAAATAGTATTTGTAGTAGTTAAGTCTAAAGTGATATCTACAATACATTTTGAATGATAAATGGCTTTTATCTTTTTTTCTAATATCTTAAAGAAGTCGATAATTCCCCGTTACAGGATGTATTGCAAACATTCTTGATCAGTATGCTAGGTTTAAACTTCTTGACTGAAGATTTGAAAAATTAATATTTCAATGTCATGTTTATATCTAAAGGTGTTAGAATTTAAAAAACATTTGCGACAGAAACCATAAACAAAAAAGCCTCCATAATAAAGAAAGGTAGCAAACGATACCATTTGTTGTCGTACCTGCTGAAAGATGTTTTGCTGGAACCTTTTGTTGGTAATTGAAAAATATTCTTTAGAAATCAAAAACCAACATTTGTTTGCCAGAATTTAATACAAAATATTATGTTTAAAGATTCTATCTTCTAGAAAGAAAAGATTATTTGTATCACTAGCAGAAAAAACTTTCTTACATATAAGGCTAATTTCTGTACTCTTATTCAGATTTTAATGATAGACGATGCAATGTTCTTACAGAAAAATTATCCTGCTGATATGTATTGTATTTACCCTATCATACTTATAAAAATTCTCTTAGATATGTTCGGATCAAAATTTTTGTGTCATAATCGCCTAGCTGATATATTCATAGACTGTTTTGTTGACAATGAGAATTTTCAACAAACATCGCTATATACTTTCTGCTGTAACACACTTGTCTTTTATTTCAAACAAAAAATGCACAAAATTTTTGAAACACCAATCCACAACACATATTTAAGAAAACTTAGGGAAGAGGGATAAGCACTCGCTTCACAAATGTCCAAATGCGATAGCATTTTCACAACTGCAACATTTGATGGGGCACAACTTCAAAATTTGATTGGGCATGAGCACAAACAAAATATCTTGAATTTTTAAGGCGAAAATTCATAACCGTCTTATGATACCTAGCAATACTCTAATTTCAAAGCTTGCAAAAAGAATAATGATTTGATAAACAACATTTTCCGTTTACTTTCTAGAAAATTAATTTAGAAAACCTTCAATGCCTGCCAAAAGTACTTGGAACAACCAGCAATTTACGCTGCATTTGATATTTTTCATTCCTTTCATGAAAAAAAATTACTACTTCCGCCCCCTTCCCCCTAAAACAACGTTGATGATTTAGAGAAATATCATAAAAGAAGCGCAAAAGAAAGTGCTTCCTAAAATCCTAACCCGTTTGATAGTAAACCAACATTGTTCTATAGGAGAGAGAGGGATGATTGATTTTGACCTTGGAAACTGATGTCAGTGTTCCAAGACTTTTGGCAGGCATTGTTGCTCCAAATTCATCTAAAGAATCAAACTACCCAGTAAACATCATATGCAATTGGGGTATAAACGCCTGAGGCAGTTTCTATGACTATAGAATAACAGTTTCTTTTCCAAAGACATGAAAGAAAACGCCTCTTTGTCGATTTTCCCACGATGTTCTCCAACGAACCGAAATTCCACGCACTTCTTGATACGGTGGATAATTCCAAAATGGTGGATTTCCCTTTTGCATCTTTATAAGATAGGCTTTGAATACGTATGGCTTATAATTGAAATCTTGCTTGCAAAGTTACCGAAACTAGTTTTAGTGGTGTAGGTCATTCATCATAAACAGATCTATGTATTTCTATCACTTCATAGGTAATCATCCTATTGTTTGTTTTTTGCCAATTCAATTATCTATTGTTTTGATCTTCCATTCAAATGTTGTTATGTATTTGTAATTCTCATACATGTAACACTTGAATCTTCAAATCTTCAAAAAGGGCAAACACAAAGTGTCAAAATTTGTTTGTTTCTCCTACAAACTCAAAGTCCAGACTCGAATTTGGCATATAAACCACAAATTTTAGGTTAATAAAAATTTTTTGTTTATAAACGTTATTCAAAGGGTATGAGGGCCATGCAATGCTGATTTTGCTGATAAACGGAATGCTGATGAAGCTATGATACTGTACAGATGTTTGTATTCCTTATTCAGAGAATTCCATACATTGATGATAATACGTTGGGAAAATGCTCTTTAAATTACTTTCAATAAACACGAACCATTAGCAACACTTTTATCATGATCTATTTACTGCAGAAAATGAATATGCAAGAAGCTATTTTTTCATGAAACTTTAGGGTATAGCTTTTGGCATATAATAGATCACAACTGCTTTTGTGGGTATTTTGTTTCAATGCTAAAACGCATATATTGAAAAGAAAATTCGACAAATTTAGGCATTTTTCCTAACATATTACCAGATGAATACCCAATATCAAGGATTTTTTATCTCAAAACACGCAGGGGGTACTTCTCACTTATTCATGCTATCATGGACTCATGCACGTTCCATCTTGTAATGGAAACCTTGTTGTTATCTTTGTAAAATCAATCCCAGAAGAGTTCATCGGAGAATTTTGGAATCACTGACTAGTTCAAAAAGTGGATGAATATAGACTTCTGGACAGTTTGAAATTTCATCACCGTCAACTTTTTTATCATAAACAATGATTTTGAATGCAGCGTTGCTTGGATTTATACTTTTCTTCGATGATAAAAACTCACAAGCCAGATATGTAGTAGCTACGTAGATGCTTCAGGCAAACTACTGCTGTTTATTTTGAATAAATAATACGATATGCAACAACTATAAAACACGTTAGAAAATGAAAACGAAATATCTACTTACACTTGCGTTGGCAGACACTATGTTTTGTTTGCTAGAACTGCTCTGAATGTTAGCACTGGCTTGTGACAAGACATGCCTTGTCAATAAGCACAGAGTGTATGGGAAATTAGTTGATTATCCCCTGTAGTTAAAGATACTTATAATACTGCTTATCAATGGTTAAAGATCAACATAAGAGACTGATAAGTCAAAGAGCCATGGCGATGAAAAGCAAGGAAAGAGGATTCGTTGGATTTGATTACAGCAGAAAAAGCTGGTTGACTTTGAGCTTTCTTAATAGAGTTTTGTAATTTGAATGTAAGAGTTAAATAGAAGAAGAGAGCAATTGCATTTGACCCGCAGTCACAAGCCAGTATCACATGCTCCTGTTTATTGGATTCGAGATTAAGTAATTAGCACAAGTTATTTGTAATTGCTCTTGTGCTGATTGATAGCTGTCAGGCTCTGCACCAATCAAAATTCATTCATTTCATAAATCAAAACTTGTCAAAATGGTATCAGTGAAGTCTTGAGTGTCAACTCTCCTCGTAAGCTCCATTTTCAGCATTCTAAAGCAAAGCTTTTCTAAGATGCGAACTACGATAGCAGGGAATCTCGTTTGTGTGTGAATGTTTAACATACAACCTCTAATAAAAGTCGGATTATACTAAGAGGAAAAGTGTCTACCCAAGGTTCTGTTGCTCATGTGCCCTAACATCTACACAGAAAGTAACTATGGAGGCATGAAATTTTCCTTTTGAAATTCGGAGCTGTTCAGGAAGTTGATTTAATTCGATTACTTTCCACAACACATTCTGATCTTCGTTTCTCTGTGCTTTCGGCTTCTTCTATCTTATTAGCTAATAATTGACAGGACGATAGAGCTGGACACACTTCTGTCTAAAGCCATTGTTCTGATGAATAAAATCGGTTCATAGCGATTAAAAGAAATACAAAATAACATAGAATAAACGGTGGATCGCGAAACCATCATTGAAATCCGGGTTGGCTTTCTATAAAATGAACCAAGTATTGGGAGATTACATCAATTAACACGTAATAAGTTATGCAGACTCACGATTGTAACTCAATGTACAGCATACACGGCTTACTGTCCGCAATGTCTCATTCTCGTCATGATGCACATAGTTCTTTTTGGCACAACCCTACGATGCATTACCCAGGTAAGTGACATCTTTCATATTTTAGTGGCTGCAGGTAAATGCATTCATCCCTTTTGTTCAAATATTTGTTTAAGCAGAGTTAGTTTCCCACCATTGCTGCATACATCAGGTGTATGCAATATAATGTAGCATACAAACACTTACCGGCTTCCAAGATTGGCTACGCCAGATATCGCCAGAGAATTCTTTACAAAGCTTTGTGACGTGGGGCAGTACTCTTTTAGAATAAAGTTTTTGTAAGCAAACGTAAACGATAGAAGTGGTTGCCAACTGTTCTGTGTCTCGTCCGAGGCATCAAAATTCTAGCTGAGTTAGCCTGTGCAAGCACTCTATCAAAGTTGCTGCTTTCTTTACGATTTTCAAAATTTGAATGGAAGCTAATTTCAGGACAGTATCCAGCTTAAAGTATTACCTTCCGGACGCAAATTATTGTAGACAAGGTAGGTTTGTAGGCCATTTAAGCTACCTGCCAAAGGGCACCACAAGCTCGCAGTCTGCGGGAAAAGTTTGAAACTAAAAAAGTAATACCTGAATTAAATGGTTACTAATTGAAATGTCCATGTCAGATAACTGTGGAATCAATAAGTTCTATTTATAATCTAAAAGATTAGATATGATAAAAACTGTGTCTGTGTGAGGGTACTCTAAAATAACTGATGATGATACTATCTTTGTTTTTCTGGTGGCGTGGGCACTTTTAGCTTTACTTCCCAAATAATTAGAAACAATTTCTTGTTCAGTTTTCTTCAAAGATCTTATATGTAAACATAAGTCGGTAGGCAATGAGAAAACAACCTTGCTTTTGCTGAAGCTAGCAACGCTGGTTCCATTTGAAATATATATCAGCCATCTTGCATCAGGGTCATTCAATGATGAAATTAAAAAACAGTTGCTATAAGTTTTGAATATCTTTGTTGGTATCAGAGATGCGATGTGTAATTCCTTTCTTTCAAAGTTAGTGCCTCAATATATCAATATAAACACAACTAGTGACAGGTTATGCTCCACTTTCTTCTTACCCTTTTCTCTCTACTGACGATGGAATCAAATCTGTTGAAATACCCTTCTTAAACTTTGCGGAGAATATGTTTTCCAAGTATAGCCAAAAAAACCTAAAAAGTGGATGTGTCGAGTTTAAGGAAATGTGTATTCGCAAGGAGCATGATTTGTTTGGATAAAGATCCCCACTGTTCATTTATCTAAGCTTCTGTAAATCAAACTAAAGCTCCGTAGAATACAATAAAGGGCAAATTGCCTGCAGAGTCGTGCATTCAGCATGGCTATAGAAAACGTCTAAATGGAATAAAATCCCCAGTTTATACCTGCTAATCCTATGCTTGTAATGACGCCATTTGTTAAAAGCACGTAGCAAGAGGGTGAATTTACCAGATTATATGTTAGTTGTTTTAAAACTATAAATGTCCTTTTTTGTGCTTGATAATGGATCAGCAATGATACGCTGCATACTCATCGAATGGAATTAAAAACACTATAGAATAACATCAAGATGCACAAGCTATATTTTATGTCAACTGGAAAAGCAGTTTAATTGCTAGATCAACAGACAAACTAAAAGTGAAGTTTGATTGCTAAGAAAAACTGTTGCAAGTTTTACTGCATAATATAGGTATTTTAATGTACGCTCATGATGTATAGAACAGGATTTATCTAAGTTGCCATCCTGTTCTATACACCAAAGATCGTGTACAGTCCTGCCTATACGGCATCGAGCACTTTATGACAAACCGGTTAACATTAACTGTAATTCAATATTTCATACACCTTAAAGGTAATTGTCAAAATTAATGGTTATAAAGATCATGTATTAAAAATTAAACTAGTTTATATCGATAAATTAACAAGCAGTATTGGTATAATAATGTAAAAATGAATGTTTGATAAACCAAAGAGTTATAATAAGAATTAAAGATGCCAATCTTTTGGAAAATGTGTATCGTAAGTCTTTTGAATTGTGTTGATAATATGTAACGTTAAGAGCTTATAGCAGTTTTGTTAAAAGTAACTCTACTTCACTCTTAAAGAGTTCTAAGAATTTGATTTTGAAGTAACTTTGCTTTGTTCAAAATTGCTTATTGCAAGTTTAGAAAGGAATTTTTCAACAGTTACTGTAAATGTTAAATTTGTGTTAAAAGGATCTCAAATCTATTGATATCTGGACATTTAGACTTGCCCTTGTGCTGCAAATCTCCTAATAATTTGCAAGATACTTTCTAAGTAATATCCACTCTAACAGCACAGCACCACAATAAGTAGGTATTACGAAAAGATGGCACGGAAAAATCAATTTAGCTCACACGAGAAGCTGGAAATTGATAACTTGGTTGGTTGTCGTTTGCGAGAGGAAATGATCAATGTATTTGACTAAAAATATTTTCAAGGCAGCATTGAATTCACGAGATGGAAGTAACTGATTAAATGTAATGAGTGATGATCATCTATCCTTCTCTTGTTGATGTTCAAATTTTCTTTTCTTTTATGTCATCAATGATAACAGAGAAACCCAGTGATACGGCTCGGCTATACATACGTCTAGGGGTAATATCACATTTATTAGGCATAAGATGTTGAACGTAACTACATGCAACTGATGCACTTTATCAAACACTAGCATTACAATACCGCCAAGACGTTCATTAAAGGAACATATTCATTCTTAATCTACGCTTTATCATATCATCTTGTTTAATTAGGTCATTCTTTGAGTAATAGCTTGGTGAAATGAGTTTCCGAATGCTTGAACTATTATCCAGCTGTTGGTCTATCCGAGTAAATTAAAAGTTTATCAAGCAATTGGTTATTTTGCTTGAAAAATACAGTTTTTGTTCTTGTTGTTTAAGAGCAATATTTTGATTCTTCACAACAAAATAAGCAAACAAAGTACTAAACATGCTACTTGCAGACCACAGTGGATGATTTCTGCATTGTCTAAGTATCTTAAATACAAATTAAAAGCTAATTGACGTATGAAGATTCCCTATTTTAGCCATTTTATTCTCATTTGCAATAAAACTCTATCTTGATGATTTAAAAAAAACATCCTTTTATCACCTTCGCTGATAATTTTCAAAATCTTTGTGAAAAAAATTTAACTGCTTTTGAATCATCAGGTATTTTTTAGAGTCATTGTTGCCAGACTGTATATAACGGATCGACAAAACCACATTTGGATAGTCTGGTAGCCATGTATAGCTCTCTTACTCTCTACAAAGTTCAAAAATTGCATTTTTTTGGTCTGCACAATTTTCACATCTATTTGCTAAACAAAAATACAAATCTTCAAATATCGCTTTAGATAAGTTTGTACCTTCTTCCATTAAAATAAACATTTTTGTGCTTATTCTATTTTGATAACAAAGATAATAATTTTTGCTTAAATTCTATTTTGCAAGAATATTTTCTCATCCTTCTATAGAAACAGAATATTTTTACTTTTTTCTGTACAACAGGGATGTTTTCTCATTCTTTACTCTAGAGTTTAAAATAAAGTAAAGAATCTTTCAACTTAAACAGTAAAAATTAAAAATGATGAGCAAAGTTTTTTGTAGCGTAGGTATTTTGGGTAGCAGCCATTAAAGTCTTATACTATAAAAGGATACTGGTTTAGCGTGTTCTTAAATCAAGAAATGGCCGAAAAGATTGACTTTCTTTCCCCTATACCCCTTACTAGGGCTGGTTTACTTCCAGTGCATTCAAATTCCTGATTACACATATTCATATCAAACCAAGATTTCAGTGACTTTCAAAACAGTCAGAAACCATCATAATTGCTCGGGTTTTCTAAACAGCATTAAGTACGTTTTGCTTTCCATTAAATTGAAAGATTTACAATGTGGCCAGATTGTTAGAAATTGAAAAATAATGTTATGTCTTAATCGTTGCTTCCAAAAGCCAATTTCTAAAGGCCTACCCACCCTTAGAAGCATTGTTTTAAACCTTCTTTTGAATATAGGCATGCTTGGTTTGATGTGAATTGAAGTGGGCCCTTAACATGTCCTGCTAATGGCATAAAGAATAATCAGCAGTTAGCCAATTCGTTTTAACGGAGATACACGATGGATCCTGAAATTGAATTTACACTGCTATTTTGCATTTTTATAGATACTTAGGTCACTGCTGAGTGCCCTTTGCACCTCTTCTGTTCCTTTATCTAGCAGTTTCCGTTCTTGCGAACTTTCCAACAAACAATTTTTCTTTAAGCTTGGTGTCAAGCTGAGAGTTTATTTTAGCAGCAAGCAAATTGATGTGGAATTCATTCT